TGAGAGCCATTGTTCCACAGGGCCTCGGTAATTAGCATGTCCACAGGCTCGGCCCTGCCCAATGCTTAACCACCTGCAGGGAAATCTTCAGTGTCCATACAAGTACATGCTAATAATTGCACACACAGACATTATACAAACACCAGAACAGCATACATAGGATTATCAGATAATAAGCTTCTATTCAATACCTCACATGGCCCCCTCCTATACCATTTTTGGGGCCAACACCCCCACCTATGGGTGCATCAGTGATCTGGCTGCTCCCCTCAAGATCCAGCAACGTGACACCTGCACTCCCAATAGACAGGCTGGCCCCTTCATCGAACAGGATCCATCTGCCACAAACCCATGTTGACTTGTGTTAACTGCAGCAGCTCCCTATATTTTTGATTGTGTCCCAAGTCAGCCGCTCCAGTAGCTTGCCTAGGCTTGATGTCAGACTGTCAGCTTCTGAATAGCCATGGCACCCCAGTTACCCTTTTCCAAAATTGGCACAACATTCATTTTCTTCCATTCTTCTGGAACTTTCCAGGTGCTGCAGGACTTACTGAAAACCTAGATACATGGGCCAGCAGGCTCCTCGGCCAGCTCTTGTAAAGCTCTTGAGGGAAGAATGCTAATACTGTGCCAATAGTTAAAAAGGGAATGGGATAGGTGGCCAGTGACAGGCCTGTTGGCCTGGCATTGATCCTGGGCTAGACAATGGAGTGGCTGAGAGGGCTGAATGCAATTAAAGAAGAATTAAAGGAAGATGATGCAATTAATGCCAGTTACCCTGGGTTTATGGGAACCAGCCCCTGCCAGGCTGCCTTGAGCTCTTTGTGTGATGAGATTACAGGATTGGTCTATAAAGGGACTAGTGCTGATCCACTTTACTTAGACTTCCCTAAGGTTTTGAATTTGGCACCACGCCGCCTTTTCATTCGAAACAAGCCCAACCTGAACCTGACACCTATGAAATGTACTGGAAGCTGGTGAGCTGATGGGTCGCCGAAGGTCACGTCAAAGGAGCGGTTGTCATTGCGTGGGGTGGTGGCCCTCTTCTGTCAGTGACCAGAAAGGGAACAGGAAATCATCACTGAGGATGTGTCTAGACTACAGGGTTTTGTTGACAAAAGTGGACTTTTGTCAACAAAACTATACCTGTGTCTACACTGCCGCTGAGTTCTGTCGACATAACAACGGCGGTAAACCTCGTTCTACGAGGAATAACGCCTTTTATTGACAGAGTTATTCCTCATGGGAAGAGGTTTACCGGGGCGTTCCCCTCACACAACAGAGCCTGGGGGCCCGGCCTAGTAGACTTTGTGGGGGAAAATGCCTCCAGGCACGCTTTATTACACCAGCCGGGGAGATGGGGAGCAGCAGCATAGGCAGCTGCTTCCTCCCCACGCTAGGCAGAATCTGTGGATCGGATCCGGCTCTGGCTTGCTGGCTCCATCCCACGAGGATTCCCACAGTGGGTAGCTGGTGTAGGCGCGGGATCCAGGTAAGCTGGGGGGTGGGATCCAGGTAAGCCACGGGTCGGGACTGGCCTCTGGGCCTTAGGTTCCCCACTCCCGATTTAAATTGTGGGCTTTGAACAATGCTAACTTTCTTCAAGCCAGCAATGCCTTTAAACTCAAGGGAGGTTGAAGTTGGACATGAGGAAAAACTTCCTACCTGTC